ATTTTACTTTGCATATTTATCACAAAAATACCAAAAATATTATCTTATCATATCTATCAGATCTCACTCTCATAAGTGGCCGGGTAGGGATTGACAACCCCTATTCGCGTTGGTTGTGAGGATTTATTTGTTTTGTGCAGGTACGATGGACTCGCGCGTAGCCTCCTACTGGATTGATACCTTGGTTCTCAAAAACTGAGGTAAATACTTACGCTACTTTGCTGCATCATCTCTTCCTCTTCGGGGAAAACCAACATAGTGCTCAAGAGGTAGCATCATCAAAATGGATAAAAGGAGATGTATCTAGATGTATTTTAGTTCTAGATACATCCCCTTTTATCCATTTTGATGACAAGTATTTCCGGACGGAGGGAGTATGATGATGCACCAAAAGTATTGTGATTTCCGAGTGGGAAGAGGTGTGCCACGGGGTTGGCAGGGACCGGTGCACTCTCTCCTAGGACTACCCTGCGGGAAGCTAGTGATGTGGTAGGAGGGCCATGATTTAGACAGAGTTTATCGAACTTTTAGTTCATGGCGTGGGTAAAGTGTACAACCTATCCAGAGTCTTAGAATCCATTCGAATAGCCGCATTCTCAATATTGGACACAGTTCGTATTTAGTCACATAGATTGGCTCTGTCAATTTGAAGGCATAAACACGACACATTAAAGCTCACCAAGATTGAAACCGGGCAAGATGAGAATTGTGAGATCAATGGTACAAGCAGCCGGGCATAGGAGTGTGCCAGGAGCTTGGGGTTTAGCCAGTGGATGGCTATGAGGATTATGATGGCTTTGATAGTATTTTTAATTGTTGGTTATGCTTTTCGTTGTCTTAAGACAGTTTACTTCAGTTGTTTATCTAGTTCAGTAACGATATCTTTGTTGGACTGACGTTAGTATTAGCAATGGTATCTTTGGTGGACAGGCTTTAGTAGTAGACATGGTCATATTTGAGGAATGACTTTAGCTTAGTACTATAATGATGAACGATCATATTATTTGAGGAATGTCTTTACTTAAGGTTATGAGTATGCTATGATAAAGTTAGTAGGCTTCGTGCCGTTTGTACTACCGTTATTTGTCTTGATAGATGTTCAGGATAATGTAGTTCATACTGCTTTTACTTCAGTACTTCCCTGCAAGAGGTTTATGCCATGGTATTTACCTTACTCGAAGTTTATGATATGGTTTGATGACCAGTATGGTTGAGATAGTTGATACATGCTTGAATGCCATGGAATGTTTACTTGGGTGGGATATGATTGATTTTCTTGCGAATACATTCAAAGTACTAAATTGGATATTAATGAGGCCGGGTGTAAGGCTGGCCACCAGTTAGGAGTCGGAGCAGTCGCACACTAGGAGGGTGACACAGTTAGATCCTTGTGGATTGAACCCGCGTTAGGGTCGTGCTACCATTGATAGAGTTTTCGTTGCAGTCATCTCTGAAGTAGTCACCAAGACTACTACATATAGCTCCGACCTCAATGCATCTTTGAGACTTGGAGCTTTGTAAGTTGACGATGTAAAGTTATGGTATCAAATAAAGCATATGTTTTTTTCGAAAGGTCTGTATCTTGTTACCCAGAGATTGTTAAAGCATACGCCAGTGCTGGTGAGTGCGGCGATCCTTCCGAATACAGTGGTAATCTACTGTACTCAAATGGGGTGCCACAAATGCAACTATCTAATGGACAACCTTTTTTTTTAAGATAGGGGTTTCCCCCTGACCCAACTTTTATTAAAAAGCAAAGGCGAATGGACAACCTTTTCTAAGCGTAAACAACAAAGAAGGCCCATACTATGTCAAATTATTTATATTTTGATGGAAATGTACAAAGGAAGAGAGACAAATCATAGATGATCTAGCATGTACTGCAATCCCTCCCCGTTAAGACTAGGCTTATCCTTCTCCGTGATCAAGGACAAATGCTCCATGAAAACAAAGAGACATAGATCCATGTATTTTGTTTTAATGTATATATACAACATGTATACCTGATACACATTCCTTTTTAATATATAAAACGTGATACAAGTGCGAGCTTTTTTCTCG